GTAGAATTTGTCAAAACTTACATGTGTCTTTTTGCTCTTGGGCTCATGACAATCCTTCTTTGGCTTAACACCTTGACTTATGATGAGTTTTGAAGAGACTGATTCTAATGAATTCCCATAAAGTCGTTGAAAACGGTGATACATTTGCAAGAATCTAAGAACACGAGGATCTCTAGATTTTTCTGAAAAATGAAAGATGAACATGTAACATTGTTATTTATTTTTCTAGTGGCATTCTTACTAATTCTTCCCACCAGCCCATAGACATGTATTTTCWTTCTGATATGGGACAGTAGTTTGAGCTGATTCCTTTTGCTAAGAGAATCTTAATTAAGGCTGTCTCTTCTTCATAGAGTCATTTCCCATCCTACTTACAGAGGCGACAGAGCATTTTTCATGGCCTACTTCCAAAAACAAATATTAGGATACTACCAAAAAATGACACATTTGGGACATAATCTCTCACATGCCTGGGGAATGAGGTTAAAAGAAAGGTAGAAGCAGAATCAAAAAAGAAAACCATGTAAGATAGTCTGACTTCTTGCATCACTCTATGGAAAAAAAAAAATCCTTACTCTGGACCACAGACACAGACCAAGAGCTTGGCAGCTAAAGAAAGCTCTCTTCGTTCTAAAAACCCAGTGACACAGCAAGGCCCAACAATCAGGGTATGAATTACTCCCATATCCCCTCACCGAAAAAAGAAACTTCAATGTTCAGTTGAATGGAATAACCACGCTRGTTAATTTCTCTATGTCTGAATCTATGTACATCAAGTCAAACCACTTTGAAAGATGTGAATGGTTCATCTAAAGCCTCTCCTCCTATCTTATAGGAATCTTGGTAGCTACTTCTATAAGCAGGCTGATGAGTATTTCATTGGCGCATACTTACTGGGCAATCCCTTAACGTCTTCTGAAAGTAAGTTTTGTCAACTCTAAGGAGGTTGGGGTAAGCATAGAGGTAGATAAAGGTGAGATGAAGAYAAGGAATGAACTGAGGAGACCAGATTCCTAATTCAAGCTCTGCTGATCTACTGGCAGTGGTTCTGTGGCTTCCTTTTGTGGCTTGAACCCCTGAGCACAAAGGCAGGTGGCAATGCTTGTATTTGTTACATGCAGTCCACAGTGAAAGTTGSTGGAAAGACTAGGCCTCACCAGATTTGACTCCACGGAATACATACGTCTTTCAAATTACAAACTATCTTTTCTTAAAACCAAGCCCAGGTCTTGAGGAGACAAATGCCATATTTTTGCACCTTCTCCTAAGATACCTACAAACCATCAGGACACAAAATGAGAATTTTTCCATTACCATCCTTCCTGATGTACATCTGAATACTTGTAGACTATTTTAATTTTRACTCATGGCTGATCATGTGAGAGTTTTTCACTATAAAATAAAACAACAGAGAGTAAAATCAATTTCAATTTCAATTTATTTCATCCCAGTCCCTGGGCTCACCATCATATTGGCACTTTGTCCTGTCATAATCGTCGCTAAGAGGTCTGTGAGAGTGCCAATGCACAAGTTCATCAAATTCCTTTTGCTTCACCAGGGAGGTGACGATGGGATCATCACTGTGAACGAACAGAAACACACACATGTTCTAATTGCTTGCCTCCAAATATAACAGCACAGATTTCATTTTGTAATAATTTCTGAAAATCATAGGTTTCTTTCTTCTTCCTGTGATATGATACGAGTGGTAGAATCCAAACAGCAGTTTATAAGAGGCTTAAGAACCCAGAACCACTCCWTGTTTCTAACAGTCCCATCCACATCCACAAATATTCATTAAATGAAACATGGGGCTAGAGTGGTATACTCTAAGATTAAAATCACATACATGTTTACATAGGAGTGATCAAAGGTCTCTTCTCTCTCTGTCTCTCTTTCTCTCTCTCCCCATTTATCTACCTATCTATCTATCTATATAGATATAGGTAGATATAGGTAGATATAGATGTAGAGATGATAGATAGATGATAGATAGATAGATAGATAGATAGATAGATAGATAGATAGATAGATGTACTGGGGATTGAACCCAGGGGCACTTAACCACTGAGCCACAACCCATCACTTTTATGTTTTATTTTGAGATGTCACTAAGTTGYYTAGKGCCTCCCTAAATTGCTGAGGCTGCTTTGAATTTGGGATCCTCCTGCTTCAGTCTCACAAGCAGCTGGGATTAGAGATATGTGCCACCATGCCCAGATCATTGAATATTTTGATATTAAATTCATTATATACTACAGCACATATTACATGYAGTGAAATATATTTCAAAGAATCTTTAATAAGTAACCCATCCATTTCATGCAAGTGTTTATTCATATGAAGCTCATTTTGGGCCATCTACCTCTTTAGGAAAGGAAAGTCCTTCAAAATGTCGCCAGTAAACTTATCGATCACATCAGATGATACTGGAATAAAACCTAAATTAGGCAGCTTTTCATTAGAGCCATCTGTGAACAAAAATAAATAAATAAAATAAAACAAGGATAGATGTGAAATATTTATACAAGAATATAATATATATTTTCTAAAAACTTCACATTAAAAATATYTGTCATTAATCCTATTTACATTTATCAATTTTAATCCTGCCTATTAAGCTATTTCCCACATTAAAACATTTTGGAACACAGCAGAACAGACAGAAATTAAGCATATTGGTGGATAGGTAGGTAGATGAATGGATGAACAGAGTAATCTGTATATATATATATATATATATATATATATATATATATATTTCTTATTTGCAAATATTTTTGCTTTTATTATTCCCCATTATGAGACAAGGAATCTCAAGATGGAAGTTTCACTCAGATCAAACATGCGCGCGCGTGCGCGCGCGCACACACACACACACACACACACACACTCTTTTATGAAATGAAATTAAAAAGAAGTAGGAAAAATATAGGTGGTAATGAGAGATTTTCTACCATTATAGTATTCTCTTGGGTCCTCCTTGATATTATAACCTAACACACACAGAATAGCTAGACAGATGATTGATAGGTAGGTGGATAGATAGATYGGTAGATATCATAGATATCAGATATATCTGGCATCTATTCTGATGTATCTATGATAATGGGCTCATGAATGACTTTTTCTATGGTGCCTAGTTCTTAATTCTAGGTACACTGCCATTGCTCTTCCTCTTGCTGTCCCCTGTTCCTGTGATTGCCCTGATACTTTCCTGTCCTAAGCCCCTGCAACCCTGGCTGAGCACTTTTCTACCTACAGCCYATGTGGAGCAGACCAGAAACACTAAAGACAGCCCTTACCCACAGTCACAACAGGAGTTTATTGATAAATACTTCAATTATCTTGCTCTTCAGTTAAGAYACCTCCAGGGTACTTTGTACCTTTCAAGATTTTCAGTGAAATTTACTTGGACTTGCCTTCAATGGAAACCAACTCATGAACATTTCCTACATTGGTGCTATTCCCTTCTGGATCTTATCTAAGCACTCTCTTACTGGATCTTCGTGGGGTCAATAAACTACTTGCACTCAATGGTCTTTGTCTGAAGGAACTCATACTGATAGAAGAGTATATTTTTCCCCTAAATTATGAAAAATATCCTTCTATCAATACATCCTAAGTATCCCCTGTGTCTTTCTCTCTCTCTCTCTCTCTCTCTCTCTCTCTCTCTCTCTCTCTATATATATATATATATATATATATATATATA